CTAGTCAATTTCATATCATTTACGTTTAATTAATTTACTTTAGTTGGTTGATTATGTTTACCAAGCAAAGTATTAATTGTCTTCCAAGTAGCTTTAGGATTTTGCTTTTCTGTAGAGATTTTTTTGGAGTAATAATCTCTTTTGGTCTGTCTCAGTAGAATGTTGGTTTCATTTCTGGCTTTTTTATAGTTTTCCCAATATGTTTCAAGTTTGGTAATGATTGCGTTTCTTTTCAAGTTGTCTGTTGCAGTCATTAAATGTTTTATACCACTACTAATCCAAGGAGATCGTTTAGATTTTATTTTCTTACTTTGAAGTGGAGCATGTTTATCTAGCCTAGGACTTGTAAGAAAAGGTCCTTCCAAATTTCCCACATAGTGCTAGGATTGTCTGCAAAAAAGTAAACATGCTCCCAAGATTGAGTTCCTAAGTCATGCTATTCTTCACTGCATGAATTTTTTCATGTTTCTAATTTCAATAATATTTTGATTTCCTTTATGGCTTACATTATACTTATATAAGTTTATAGTTCGTCGTGTTCACATTTACTATGACCAAGATATTGTTAGATAAGCCATGAGAAAACAATATAAGGAAAAATTTAAATCCTGAAATGCAACGAGTTTCCTTTGAACGTTAAGGTGTTTGGAAGAAGGGTTAAAAGTGCAGCTAGGATTGAAGCCGTCGACATACTTTAATGCTTTTCACAACTTTCCATCCTTCCGTACGTAAAACTTTGCTTTTCCAGTAAAAGATTAAACAGTTAAATGTACAATTCATCAAGGACATGGTTTTAGCCCAGAGCTGTGCAAGGTTTGCATTATCCAGAGTATGTGTTGCTTCTGTCGAATGTATTCTAAGTCCAATGTACACGCCCAATGGAATGGATAACACCACAACAAAAGCGACCACTAGCAAGCAACTCGATATGTTTTTCAAAGAGAACGTCTTTTTCATATCGGGTGATATTCCTTTGTTTTTACGACTTTTCCTGACGACTAGAAACAGTTTGTAGTTGATAAATAACATTGGAGGAATGAAAAGAATGGAAAAAATTACAGCGTGCACTTGGTTGGAAATTAGAAAATCGTTTACAGACATCGCTCTCAAAATTACTTCGACGATGATCAGTATTGCAAGAAGAGCTAAAAGTCTTCCCTTCGTTACCGACGTTCGATGAAAGATAGGATAAGATGTCGCCAAATATCGATCGAAGTTCATTACCAAAAGAGCGAATAATGAAAAAACAAAGAATGTGATGGTCGAGTTTATGGCAATATGAGGCCATCTAGCATTTACATCCAACATGCCATACAACCATGACATCGTGATAAGCGCCATCAATGGAGTATTGGTTATAACCGCGAGCAAATCGCAACAGGACAAAACCATTATCATGAAATAACATAATTTCTTTCGAAGTTGTACGGATCTCCAGAAACTGAGTATGACCAAGGAATTTAAACATATTCCTGAGAAAAAGAAGAATACGTTCACAGCAAATATAAGTATCAGGTTGATAAAAAAATGAGATTCCATCTTTGAGCGAGTTCTTCTGAAGAATGGAACATAAAATTAACGCAGTTGTGCTTTAAGCTTCAAATACACGAGTAATTGCACGGATAGTGGATTATATTACAAAGACTATCGCACTGTTGTCACACAAGGTGGCTACAGCTGTATTTGTCGCAATGAGATACTAAAACGAAACACGCCTCCCAATTTTCGACAATCGTTGCCCAAATTGGGCTAGCATTCCAAAGGTCGTAGATTCGATTCCCAGCGTGGCCAGGCATATTTTTCAAGCCTGTCCGGTGTGGATATACACTCAGAGTAACATCACGAGCATCTTATTCACTTGAGTACATTACACCAACACAGCAGATATCATGATTATTAGATTACACTGATATCGAAGGGACTAGACTCAGTTCCGAAATATCACATACTTGAACCGACCTGACCACGTAGCTCAGTTGTCAGAGCATTGGGCTAGTATTCCAAAGGTCGTAGGTTCGATTCCCACCATGGCCAGGCATATTTTTCAAGCCTGCCCGGTGTGGATACACACTCAGAGTAACATCACAAGCATCTTATTCACCTGAGTACATTACACCGACACAGCAAATATCAAAATAAAATAGTTTGAAATTTTCCCGAGAAGGACAATATCAGAAAACAAAATTAAATTAATATAAATACATTTTTGCATTCAGTCCAAAATACGCATTACTAAACTTTATTTGCGCATTAAAAGTATTTATCTTTCTTTTAACAATCTTAAGTAGCAATAGTCGGAAATTTACATAAAACACTCGGAACGACTTCGAACGTTTGTACATAATGTTAGTTCGCTTGCTTGCTTGCTTGCTTGCTTGTTTGTTTGCTTGCTTGCTTGCTTGCTTGCTTGCTTGCTTGCTTGCTTGCTTGCTTGCTTGCTTGCTTGTTTGTTTGTTTGTTTGTTTGTTTGTTTGTTTGTTTGTTTGTTTGTTTGTTTGTTTGTTTGTTTGTTTGTTTGTTTGTTTGTTTGTTTGTTTGTTTGTTTGAACGTAAGTCTGCTACTTGATGAATGTACTCTATACATCACAACGAAAAACAACAAATGATTTTGAAGCTTACTGTCTTGTATCGAAGTGAAATTGAAAGAGATCATTGGTGATCTTTGCTCCACTTTGACCAGAGAACACAAACATTGTGTCACGTGCGATAGTCACGGGAAAATTACAGCACGTCGGCGGACCTTCGCCAATCTGACGAACCTGGATAGTTATTACAAACATATTAGATAAATGCTGCAATCTACTACTGTCGAAAATATAGGCGGGGCATGGCTGGCACGGGGAATGAAAGTGAGCGCGCGCGTGGGGGGAGGGGGGGGGACCCTTTCTGACAATAATTCTGGAGACTCTATCCTATTACGTGTTAACCATATAAACTAAACTATCCATTATAGACTTGTTCTAAACTGTTCTCCCTAGAGGTACAGTAAGGATTGTTCCAGTGTTACTACAGGAGGAACCCTAAACTAATCTTATTTATACTGGATAGCTCTGTCAGTTCTACATTGTTCTCTCTAGAGGTCCAGTAAGGATCATCTCTTAATGATCCAGTGTTACTACAGGAGGAAACTTGAACTAAACTAACTTTATTTATACTGGATCGCTCTATCAGTTCTAAACTGTTCTTCCTAGAGGTTCAGCAAGGATCATCTCGTATTGATCCAGTGTTACTACAGGAGGAAACCTAAACTAAACTAACTTTATTTATATTGGATAGTTCTATCAGTTCTAAACTGTTCTTCCTAGAGGTTCAGCAAGGATCATCTCTTATTGATCCAGTGTTACTACAGGAGGAAACCTAAACCAAACTAACTTTATTTATCCTGGATAACTCTATCAGTTCTAAACTGTTCTTCCTAGAGGTTCAGTAAGGATCATCTCTTATTGATCCAGTGTTACTACAGGAGGAAACGTAAACTAAACAAACTTTATTTATACTGGATAACTCTATCAGTTCTAAACTGTTCTTCCTAGAGGTCCAGTAAGGATCATCTCTTATTGATCCAGTGTTACTACAGGAGAAAACCTAAACTAAACTAACTTTATTTATACTGGATAACTTTATCAGTTCTAAACTGTTCTTCCTAGAGGTTCAGTAAGGATCATCTCTTATTGATCCAGTGTTACTAGTACTAGAGAAAGAAACCTAACTAACTTTATTTATTCTGGATAGCTTTATCAGTTCTAAACTGTTCTCCCTAGATGTCCAGTACACGCGTAAAAATTTCACAGCTTGTCAACAAGATACGTAGGGAGAACAGTTTAGAACTGATAGAGCTATCGAGTATAAATAAAGTTAGTTTAGTTTAGGTTTCCTCCTGTAGTAACACTGGATCAATAAGAGATGATCCTTAATGGACCTCTAGGAAGAACAGTTTAGAACTGATAGAGCTATCGAGTATAAATAAAGTTTGTTTAGTTTAGGTTTCCTCCTGTAGTAACACTGGATCAATAAGAGATGATCCTTACTGGACCTCTAGGAAGAACAGTTTAGAACTGATAGAGCTATCCAGTATAAATAAAGCTAGTTTAGTTTAGGTTTCCTCCTGTAGTAACACTGGATCAATAAGAGATGATCCTTACTGGACTTCTAGGAAGAACAGTTTAGAACTGATAGAACTATCCAGTATAAACAACGTCAATTTAATTATGTACAATATAGAAAGCCATGTTCTTACTTCTTGCCATAATGTAAAATCAAGGCTTGTCAGGTCCAACATCCACATGTCATTAAGTCTGAAGTAATAAGGAGAAACAATAGGGAGTTTAAGCTTCACGTGTCATATTTTCATTCATATGACACACGAATAGTTGAGCATTCTAGTCATAAAACAACAAGCCCATTTACTTTTTATTGCTTTATAGTGTAATTTTTCTCTTTGCCTGACGTTTGTCGTTTAGTAGCTAAATGTCGAAGAGGGGGCAACTGTTCATTGCTTTTTAGTCTTCAATATTTGAGCGAGTCATGCTTTGCAAATGACAATAAATTTTCATTACCCAACCCTTGAGTTGTCTTTGTTTTTCATTTACCCAACCTTTTACTCACTCAAAATTTTGTGTACCCAACCCTTTTCTCTTCGATGCCACCCCCCCGCCATAAATAATAACCGCTTCCCTTACCAAAAAACTTGATTGGCTAAAACCCGATTGAAAGCTCACCTCTTACTACCGTCATAGCCTGCAAACACCCACAACTTTTGATTATAAACGGCAGCACCATGGGCTGAGCGTGCTGGAGGTACCCTGCGAGGTAAGATCAGTTTGAGATCACTTCGTATATTGTATACTAGATATTGATACGACATTGGCAATAAAATTAATTAGGTATTTAAGGTATTTTAGGTATTTTAGGTATTTATTGGCAATAAATTTATTAGGTATTTAAGGTTACAGAACACCTTTGAGTGTTAATTTTGCCTAAATTTTTTTTATTCCATGAAAGCATTAGACTAGTTCTACTACCTGACCAAGTTTGAACGAAAAATGTTGAAAACTCGCAGAGTTATTTAATAAAATACATTTCGCTGCAATAAGAAAAACATTGAAAATGTAATATTCAAATTCAATTTTCTCCCGAAGAATTTTACGGCAATTACTGATTTTCAAACGAGTTGTGCTCCTGCGGGTTTTAAAGAATTTCTCTCAAATTTTCACAGGACATAGCTAAAGACGTCAGTTTCAAAATTGTGTTGGGCTTTTTTTTTAATTTTGGATATTTTAATAATAAAGAGCAATTCACTCAAACAATTCAGAAATATATTGCAGTCGTCAAAGAAATCGCCATATCAGCGGAATGACGAAATAAACAAAAATTTACAATTTTTTAGAACAACTATTTTACTGTTTAAAAATGATATTTTCATAAATATAACTTAAAACCAGCAGGAGCACAACTCAAAAGCGTAACGGTACCGCGATTTAAGATTCTCCTGAATAATTCTTACATTATTTTATTGCTTGTTAATTTTATAACTTTACCATATTTTGCATGCACTGGCGAACATTTGGTGAAAATTTGATGAAAATCGGACTGATCTTGAGCGCGCAGTAGCGATTTTCCGCAAAACGCCAAAAAGAATGTCCTGTAACCTTAAAGGACATTGGCAATAAAAAAGTTTCTCTCATTCAAAAGAACTCTTAAAATTATATATTAATAAAGGAATACCAAATGGTTTTCCGTGCAGGATTGCGTGATCCATGTACGAAAGATGTCGCGAGACTTTCGGAAAGCGTAAAAATACTCGAGCCGCAGGTGAGTGTATTTTTACGCTTTCCGAAAGTCGAGCAACATCCCAAGTGCATGGATCACGCTATCCTGCTTGGAAAACCATTTGGTAATTGTTTTATAAAATAACTACAGTGAAACAATGATATTTTGAGAATCCCGCGAAAATCCCGCGAAGGTATTTCAATTCCTCGTGCAGGATTAGCTTGATCCTGCACGGCTATATATATATTGACCAATCAAATCGCGTGTTTCACTGTAGTTATTATATAAACTCTATTACCGATTTGTCATATCTTGCTCAGTTCTCGAAATATTTAGGCGAAATTAATGAGGTGTCCGCCAACTTGGACTAATTCTTCACCTCATTAACTATGGTTTTGATGACGTCAGAAGTTGGGTTATACATATAACAAACTACTCTAAAATGACCGAGAGAAAAAGTGTGTGCCTCTCTGACTGAAGGTCCAGAAACACCGGATGGGATTCGACAACGCGACGCGATTTTTTAGTTTTTGAAATTTAATATATAAAACAGCCAATGAGAGAAAATTTTGAAAGATATGTAGACCAAATAACTCAAAATGTTATAACGCTTCTAAATATTTGGAAAACTTAAACTAGGATCAATGTTATCGGTCGCGTGGTGTTGTCGAATCCCGTCCGGTGTGTCTGGACCTTGACCCAACCGACCGATATTTACCTTCCTTCGATGGGCCAATGACACCAATGCCCATTGGTGAACTTGAATTCATAAAGATCATTTCTGTTGAGTAGATTTGAATTCGAATTGATATCGCCTTTGAGAAATGGAAAAAAATTAATATCAGGTTTATTTCGAAAGATGCAATGTCCTTAGGGGTGACGGTTCAGCTAGTTCAAGTAGAATTTCAGTACAATAAGCTGTTGTGATTTGTTTCTGAACTACCTGAAAAAATATTTGAAACGTGGTGGTCCAGTGTTGGTAGTATTCTACAATAAGCTGTCGTGGTTTGTGTCTGAACGACCTGACAAAAATATTTCAAACGTGGTGGTCCAGGGTAGGTAGTATTCTACAATAAGCTGTCGTGGTTTGTGTGTAAACTACCTGAAAAAGATATCTCAAACGTGGTGGTCCAGTGTAGGTAGTATTCTACAATAAGCTGTCGTGGTTTGTGTCTGAACTACCACATTTGAGATATCTTTTTCAGGTAGTCGAGTGTTGGTAGTATTCGAAAATAAGCTGTCGTGGTTTGTGTCCGAATCACCTGAAAAATGATATCCCAAAATACCCACTTTCAAACTTTGTATACACGCAAATAAAGATTACAAAGATTTCAGAATTCTAAAAGTACTTTTATTACCCACGATCGCATTTGATAATATAACCCAATTACAAAGATTTTTCTATGCTATTATTAACTTATGAAAGACATCGTTCATTACGTTTACTTATTCATTTTTTCCCCAACACTGACAAACTAGCACCAGACTTGTACCAAGACTGCTTGTTCCCAGTTTGTTGACAAGCTGTCAACGGCTTGTTAACAAGTTCCTGTTCCAACAACTCGTCATCGTCCTGCAATTCAGCGCAACTTGTTAAGAAGCTGTAAGTGACAAATCTTGTAACAAATTGATGAAATTACATCATTGTTACAACTCGTCGAAAAGTTTGGTACAGGCCTGTTGCGAGCACACCCTATGTTATATGTATGTGGTTGAAAAACTGGTTATAATTTTGTTCACACATACCAAACAATCACAATATATATTACTCTAATTTCCTATATTTGTGCTAATTAAAATTGTTCATAATACATGAATATAGTCAACTTGTTATCTGAAAGAAATGTTCAACATTCTTGCATTGTTCACACAACAACAGCAGTGTGAAAGCATCTTGCTTCAGACATTGCCGGGAAACCTTGCCAAGCATAAATTTCGAAGTTGAAAGCTTCAAGTGACCTTAGATCACGCTCTTGCTCATCCCTTCCTCCCAGTACTACAATGTTGTTTCCAATAACAACTGCAGTACATCCCCGTCTCTTACATCTCATGGATGGTAGCATGCGATTTTGTCCTGTGTTGACATTGTACATGACAACTGAATTCAATATATTGCCATCTTTGCCAATGCCACCTATGATAACGATGTTGTCTCCCCATCTCACAGTTGCCATCTGACTCACTTCATACGGCAGTGGTGCCAACTGTTTACATTCATTCTCCTTTATATCATACAGTTCGACACTTCTGAGGCTGTCTTGGTGTCTGTCAGTTGTACTTCCTCCAACAATTAACAAATCATCGTAAAATATTTCCGTGCTGTGATCCTGTCTTGGTTGTAGCATTCCTGATAAACCCTTCACAGTATAGGGAAGAACAAGCTGTATTTCATCAATATAAGCAGATGTAACATTTCCATTATCACCGCCAGTGACTATCAACTGGTCGTTATACAGCACACTGCTGTGGTGAGTCAACTTAGCAGGTAGTCCAACAGGACACCCAATCCAATATGTTGCGACATCTGCAGGGTTTGGGTCAATACTCATGCTAATCATATCATGGATATAGTCAGAATCAGAACATCCACCCCCAACTACTGTTACATGGTTGTTGTAAACAAACGCAGTCGCTCCATAACGCTCCTCTGGCATGTATTGTAATAGCGACCATGTCCTTTGACGCCAGTTAAACATCTCTACAGAGTCAACTCCTTCACCTCCAGCAACAATTATGTTTTCCTTATCACCACTTGCTGTACGTCTTCTTTTTCTTGGGTTTTCTTCTATTTTGTCCTCCATCTTGACAAGAACATCCTTCATTTGATCAAAACCTTCAATCAA